TAGTAAATCATTTGCGGAATGCTCTCATAATTATTTTGGCCGCGCCTGAAGGTATGCAACGGGTTTTGAATTGCAATATACGTGTGCTTGATATGGGAATTTTAATTAAAATTAAATAATTCAAAATGTATATCGCATAGCGCATTTGTCGTTTGATGTCGATTTACCCATTAACCGAAACGGTGCATAATTGAAAAGTTCGCCAACTAGGCGGCCAATTCAATTTGGCAACACGTGTGGGAGAGGGGGCGGGAGAGAGATACTCGCAAATGGCAATAACAGTATAAACAGTGAGTGCGGCAAATGCATTTTGGCCCTTAATATTGGCAACGAGTGCAGAGTTTTGCCATTTGCCATGGCAATGCACGGATTTGTGGATATTTTTGGATTTTTCGGCCGCCGTTGTTCAGTTTGCATAATCAACGTGACTCTAGCTAGTTTGGCGCCTGGCGGTTGCCTTGACGGCGATAATGCGATAAAATTACAGCGATAAATTATTTGAATTTGATTGCATTTAATAAGCAAATATTTTCAATTAAGTGCAGTTCATTATGATGTCGTGCGTTTACAAACTATAAATTAACTCTGGCTGCGCTTTAAAATTCATATTTATTAATTATGTGTGCAGCAATTGATATGAATAATATAAACTCTGTGCGTGAATTATATTTGTAATTTCGTAAAATAATACATAATTGGGGCTGGTTTTTGTTGGATAATATTCACAAACATATTGTAAGAAATTTCAAAATATATAAAAAAATTTCAACAATAAAAAAATGCAAGAATAAAAAATTGTAAAACGTATGTATGTACATATACAATATATTAGATTAAGAAATTCATTTTAAAATTTAAGGACAGAACCTTGGGAACGACAGATTTAGCATTTTTTAATTTTACAGCATTCAATTAATCAAAATTCTTTGCTACTCAACGTGTTAAGTAAGATTAGTGACTTTTTTTTTTCGTTAAGTACGTAATGGCATGACTAGTCAGGATTTGCAACTAAAGCTGATTACATTGATGTATGTACATTTGTTCAAGCAAATCTATATAATCAGAAATTATACACCCTTGGGAGCCAAACAATCAACAAAAACTATTTTTGCTAGCGACATAACATAT